ATGGCCTGTATCAGACACACCTTAATCTCCAGAGTGATATCATTGCTCTTCAGTTCTTTGCAGAAGACTTTCCCATTGCAATATGTCTTTTAATTTCCTGGCTGCTGGTGTCAAGAGAGTTGACTGTGGAGCCAACCAAACTATAGCTGTGAACAATCTCAATCTCTTCACCATCCATCCTAATGCTTCCAATTGGTCTAGTGGTGAGAATCTTTGTCTTCTTGATATTGAGCCTCAATTCATATTGAAGGCTGCAGTCCTTGACCCTCTGCAGCAAGTGCTTCACATCCTCCTCAGTTTTAGCAAGCAGGATTATGTCATCTGCATAACACAGATTGTTGATAGATCTTCCACAATCCTGACGCCACACTTCATATACACACTGTTTTTTCCATGTGTACCTATGTGTACTCATTAGTACTTCATGACAATTTAACTCTCTGACCTCCAAAATACATACAGTGACCTCTCTTTGCTCCACGGGTATTCAGAAGTTTCTTTCCAAATGCATAATACCATATAATGAAACTCTTAAAATCAAAAAATCTGCTCTATTAATAAGACTTTCTTCATTTGCAGTTACTGTTCTAATGCCTCTTTGAGACATTACAAGAAGACATTCTTTTGTTTTGAGACATTTCAAGAGAAACTCATTAGGATAAATGACTGAAATTTTCACTCTCTATATATGGGGTTTTTTCTTAAGACACAGTGGCCTTTTTACCAGTTACTAAACTAAAGTGCTTCCTACAGAAATGTGAGCTGTCAATTTCAAAGCAGCCTTTCCAAAGCTGTAAGTCTTTAAGGTGGTTTGGGAACAATCAAGCATCTTTTAAGGAGGACAGCTGAGTGCACTGAACAGGAAATTGGGAGCATCACTGAAACACAGCAGCTTTGAGAAAGCTAAATAAGTTTCATTGTCTTGTTTGTTAAAATAGCACATTAAAAAATATTTTGAAGAGCTGGCAGGATGCATCTGACAGCTGAGTGGGAGGCTCCTGGCTGCAGAGCCTGATGCTGAGCTGTTAGTTCTCTAAGCTAATCTGTTTGGTTGGGAGGAGTGGGGGGGGAAAGGGAGGGCGGGGATAAGAACTGAATTGAAGAGGGGGAACCATCAATAAGGAAAAATCTGTTCAACACAATAAAATATATTTGATTTCTTTTTCCTTTTATACCTGGCTGCTGGCATGGAACAAATAATCTTTAAATAAAAAAAGGAGAGAAATCCTCCTTGAAAGGAAAAGAGGGGGGGAAAGAACACACACACACACACACACACACACATACACACATACACAATACCAAAACAGGAGACCTTTTGGTTCTATTGCTGCTTCCTCCCATCTCCACAACATCCCAGGACAATCATAAAGCTTCAAATGGAAATACAATTTATAGCTGAAATGGTACCACAGTCTCTTACTTTACTTCTAAATGGTGGGCTAAAATTTGACAACCAAGCCTATACTCCTCTCATTAATCGCCTTAGATTAAAAAAAAATTATAAAACAAACAAGCAACACCTCGTGGAATTCATCAAGGAAATTAAGACATTCGGATTCTTACCAGCCACTTGCTTTAGCATCTGGCCACTTCTTGCAGCACTGTCATCATAATGTTCAAAAAGTGAAAACGCAGCGGGCACGTTCTCCAGCGAGGCAGTGCGTTCCATGGCTGAGAGCAATCTACCAGGAGAAAAGATCTCGAGATAAGTGTCTCGAAGCTATTAACTACAGAATGAAAGCTAAAAACAAGATGTCATTGTTGGTGGTCATTTTTACCAGACAGGGCTTATAGTTCATTCCAAAGAGGAATTTAAAAAAAGGTTTCAAAGGTCTGGAAATAAACCAGTTCTTAAAACAACAAAACCAAAAAACACCAGTTCTTGGGGTTCTTGAGTGCAACTGGTAATCACTGAAAATTTCATTCCTACATCCTCAAACAGAAAAGATTCTGCCAAATTATACAGTCTTAAATTTCTCATCTACATGATTAATCAGCAACAGTTTCTGTATTGAATGGTTATTTATTGTCAGAGGACATAAATAAGGCCTCAAGGCATCAGTAGGATGCCATGTGATTCTCAGCTCTCATTATCATGCTGCTCGCCATCCAGTGATTCAGAAAATATCGTTTACCTACTACATGTACACTGGACTAGGTACCAGGGAAACAGCAGTAAAACAAGGTAAAATATATGCGTTCTTAAAAGACTAAACAAGTCACAATTTTTATTAACGACTCTCTTAGGAGAGATGTCAACAATTGTTGTCACTATGTGTTGTCGAGTCAGAAGCAACTCATAGCTGATGCTTTAGCAGCCTTCAGAAGCTATAAATGGTAGGAGATAGCCCCGCTGGTGGATACAAACCACATGTCTTTGAGTTGGCAGCACAATTCCTTACTACTACACCACCAGAGCACCCAATATGCCAAGAAGTAGCATTTCTAAATCCAGATAAAACAATAAATACTAAAAAGAATTAACACCAAAATAACTCTGAAGCAACAAGACGAGAAATTTCAAGAGCATTTCTCTTGAGTGGAAGAAGCCTCACGCTGGGTGAGGAGCTCTCCTCTGTGACTCTCACACAGGACTGTGACCATCTTCTAAAAGTAAGTTAACAATAATGTCATCTTCTATGAGCTACCCCAATTCCAGGATCACAGACTTTATGGTTTTCCCAACATGAGTCTTCCTAAATGAAGACTTTGGGGATGCAGAATGTGGGAAAGGGGGATCAAAATTAAAATAAAAATGTTCTGGTTGCAGATACACCGAGTAAAATGTTGAGTTTTCCCTGTGCACTGACCTGCTCAATTTTAAAATTGCATAGATGAGGGCAAGTGGACATCTTTTCATGAGTAGGTCCTACAATGACTGCAACTTGCTTTTATTATTATTTTTATACAAAAGCACAAAATGGAGGGGGAAATGCATCTTCTTAACAGAACAGCATTTTCTCAGCAAATGTGTTTTTGAAGATATGCAAATTTGGAGTCTAAATATGCTTGACAGCATTCCTTAATTTAAGCATTTTTAGGGTTGAGAACAATTATTTATTTAATACACAAGCTCTGTCTTCAGAGATATTACATGAAGAGAGAGAGAAGCAGCAAGGTAAGACAAACGAGATAATTAGCACCTCTTGTAGAAAAGAGCACCAGCAACTCTGAGACTTTGAGACAGAAGTTGTCTTGAGGACATGAAAGCCTTTTTTTTTGTGAAGCATCAAGTTTCATCAAGTGTGTGTGTGTGTGTGTGTGTATTTGCATGTATTTAATAAGGCTTTCTTTAGTTGCTTTTATTTCTTTTAAATTCTAGAATTCTGTTGCTGGTTTTTTTCTCTATAGAAAAAGAATAGTTATCTCAAGTGTACTTGCCCTTGAATGCAGCTTTAACAAAGTCATTTTCAATTAGACAATAAAATTAAAATCCATAAAAACCAAAGAAATTGCATTTAGTATTAAATGGATGCCAGTTCATACTACGTTGTTAGGTGCTGTCAAGTTGAGTATGACTCATAAGAAACGTATGAACAAAAGGTCTGAACCCTTCTCAACCATGTGCCATCCTCACACTTCCCGACACACAAGAACTCATTGCAGCAGCCACCGTGTCACCACCTGGCCAAGAGTCTTCCTCTTCTTCGCCACACCTCCAGCCTGCCCAGCATTTTGTCCCTCTCCAAGAAATTAGCAACGTGTCTAAAGTGTGTGAGGTGAAGCCTCAGCAAGTTAATACTCTAAGCCTGGAAAAGTAAAAATATTCTGGGCCATTTTTTTAAGGTAGAAGAGTTCTCAGATCTTTATTTACCAAGTTTTGGCCATCAGTATCTTCCATGAACTGATGAAATAAAAACAAGAAGAAATGCAGATCTACATTGTACAAAATAGGTGAGAGTGGCACTATATATGTGTGTGTATACATCTATCTATCTATTTATCTGAGTTATATTTAAGAAGAAATTATTTTTTTTAAATAGAAGTGCAGCCCAAATATCAGATCAGACTATTGCCCCTCAGAGCTGTTGCCCCACAGCTATCAGAATTGTTAGACTGCAGGTACCTAATCCTACCCTGGGAATTCTGAGGTAGTTTATCTGGGGTAGAGCCTCGGGATCTTTAACAAATCAGAGAGATGACACGGAGGCACAGCCAAGTTTGGGGAACCACTGGACTAAAGGACAGGGAGTTATAAACCAGGGGTTCTCACAACCTGGATGATACATTAGACTCATCTCAAAACACCAAATTCACGACCATTGCATCAGTTCCAACTCACAGTGACTTTCCTAGGACAAGGTAGAACTGCCCCATAGAGTTTCTCAGGCCATGGGTCTATGTGGAAGCTGCCTACCACATACATCTCAGGCCATTGGTCTATGTGGAAGCTGACTACCATGTACATCTTATCCTGGGTAGCAGCAGGTGAGCTCAAATTGCTGAATATCCAACTCTTTAACCACTGAAAACAAAACATAAAATCTCATTGCTGTAAAATCAGAACCTACTCATAGCTGAATCTTTATTGAGCTTTTAAGGCTGTGCCTCAAATGAGAGGAGACTGCTTATCTTTCTCCCCAGAAAGGCTGGTGGATTTGAACAGCCAGAGGCATGGCTTTTGTGTTAGCATCACACTGCCCTTCTAAAAGCTTTAAAAATAAAGAGGCCACACCCCCAGATCAATTGCATCAGAATCTCAAAGGGTAAGAATCAGGCATCTGCATTATTTAAAGCGCCCAAGTAATTCTACTTGTAATAGAACCATTATAAAACTTTTCTCATCAACACCAATATTAATGTCATTTATTTTCCTAAGACTAGTGGAACACTCTCTTGAATAGATAATTTTTTTTCCTAGATAAGTAGAATTCACCTGTGCAGTTTAATTTTTTTTTAAAAATAGTTTCTAATTCAAACTCATTTTTCTATATTTTCATACATCAAAACAAAATAGTCCAGAACAAAGGCTGCATAGTGGAGTGGACCTGGGGGGAGGGATTGTAAAACAATGGGGCAGTGTACTGGGAGGAGGGGAGGGGTGGATAGGGAGAAAAGTGCAACAATGAATGAATGGAAATCCAAAGTCTCTGTAAATTTTAATTAAAATTAACTTTAAAAAATGGTAAAAAATAACCCAAAAACAAAATAGAAAAAATATTTTTCTACTTTATAATATTTCAAAATTTGCACTGGCATTGCAGTAAACTGAAGAAAATATTTACAATCTTAAGAATCTACTAGAAAATGGTAAAATATTAGGTTTAACTAGTTAGACTTTAGATCTCACAATGGAGTAAAGAGGAAAAGATGTCAGATCAGTATAAGAATTCCAATGTCATCATGCTCAGAAAAATAGATATGAGCCTTGTGTATGTTTTTATAAACATTTCCTAATTTTTTGAGTGTTTTGCTTTGTGAAAGAATGAAGACATCCTTTAACACTGAATGTTTAAATGACAACAAAAATCAAGAGGAAGATTCAGTTAGGTTAGCTGAGTAGAAAAAGAAGATAAATAAATGCATGACTATCTTTAGAAGTGAAAAATCAGAGAACATTCCATTAAGATTACATAAGACAAAATTTTACAAGGCATTATGAATGATTCTTTCAAATACTCGTAGTTAACCACTAAATCTAAGTCATCTACAAAACGCTCTGCATTCAGAGACAGCAGCGGCAGTTTACATGAGATTGTAAATACAGAGCTCATCTCAAGGAAGCAGTTAAAAAATCTACATTGTGATAATTGTTATTTAACTATAGCACATGCAATTCTCTTTCAAAAGCTGTCATTTAGTTTTTAAAAGCACTGGCTCTAAAAGTGAAACTCTAGTAGCTCATTAAATATATGCATTTTCTCACTGGCAGCTCATTTTCTATAAAGCATCAGAACATTAAAATAAAGCATCCAGACATGCTATTCTCAGTAGCCACTACATTGTGCCACATTTTATATACCTTTCATTGATTTCTTCAAATGACTTACAAGAGAAAGAGAAAGTAGGGAGGGGAGAGAGAGAGAGAGAGAAACCAATTAGCACCCATAAGAAAAAATGAGTTGAAAGAATGAATATTCCAAATGAGAGTTCCACAATAATTACTCCTCCTCTTCCCTGTTTCAAAGAGGAATAACCCCCCTATGGAGGCTTCAGCCTGGGCTGCAAGGGATTTGATGCTTTGAATGAAGGTTAGGGTAGTAGACAAAATCAATTCCATTCATTTCCATAGTCTTAGAACCATCCAGCTTGTAACTAACCTCCCCCCTGGTTTTCACAGGCTGCAGATCACACAGATTACCCATCTTTCCCCCACAGAGCAGTGGACAGTTTCAAAGTGCTTGCCTCTGAGTTGGCAACACAACACTTTATCCACTAAACCACCAGAGATTCCAGGGGTAGTGGTGGGAGCATTCGTCACCTTATTTTTTCGTGACCTTATTTTTTTCTGTGATCAGCAAGGCCTTCTTAACCTCTGTATCTCTTTATGCATCAGCAAAATGGTTCAGCCTTGAGAATGGAATTCTCTAAACCAAGAAAAACAACTTAAATTTGTTCTGTGCATGTGTACTATATACCAAGTACCTTACTGTTAGTCAGTGCTGAGGGTTACCTTCTCTGTGCTACCTTTTCTATCTTATACAAATTTTCTTAAGTAAACATCATAACTTTCACAAGCAGATAAAAATGTTTAGAGAAAAGTAAATATTCTTCTCAAACAAAGATAAGTTTTTTAGAGAATGTAAAACACTGTGAATAGTATGCTTTATTTGGCAATATGAGCCCGGTGTCAAGTTATTAACCTTTGCCTTAATTAAACCTAAAGCAATCTAATAATTTTAATTCTTCTTTCAATCTGACCATGTCCACATAGTCCAATTTGACCTGGCTTTTGAGGTGTCTCCAAAGGCAAGTTAAAAGCCTAACATTGCCCCAATTTTAGCTCATCTGTCTTCAAACGTCACTGAAAGGATAAGAGGACAGGGAATCCTTGAAAAGAGGGATCCACACTTATCCTAAAATAATTTGATAATTAATTAGCTTAATTTTCCATCGAGTTTGGAACTCCCTTCAGGGAAAACTTTTATATCAAATGGTTCCTACTCATAGTAACCCTCTATCAGAGAGCTAGTCTAGTGGTAAGGAACTGTGCTGCTATCCCAAATGCATATGGTTCAAATCCACCAGCTGCTCTGTGGGAGAAAGATGGGCAACCTCCTCCCATGCAATTAAATTCCTTCTGAAAACCCACTGGAGGGGCCACAGTGAGTGGGTTCTGAATTGATGGTACGCAACAACAATAACATAACAACCCTCTATCAGGTTTCCAGGGATGGAAATTACAACAGAAAGAGATTGCCCATTCTTCTCCTATGCAGCTGCTGGTGGCTCTAACATGCTAGAGAGCTGCAGCCTTTGGGTGAGCAGTAGAACTTGCTATGCACTATGCCACTTGAGCTTCCTTTCAGGGAATTCAAAGAGTTAAACTAGTGAAGTAATTAGAGCAACACCTCCCTCTGTCCACAGTTAACTACTTTTAACTAAAGGAGTCCTGTCCTCAGGAGCCCCCCAGTAAGATCACCAGCATATTACCCATAAGAGGAAACACATTATGTCATCACTGCAAATATACCCAAATACTCTCAGTCACTTGGCAAGGCTCAGAGAGAATGACCTGTATGAGAAGTAACTTCAGATCAGGGAGTGGAGTGGACAGACCCAGGAAACAATGCAAGCACATGAGGCATTAGACATGTGTTGGCACTGACGGCAAAACATGGGACTGCAGTAGGTTTTGGAGGCTGCTTCCTCTTGCGATTGGGAGGTGGTGGCCATCATGGCTGGCAGACAGAATGATTTTTCTTTCATGACTGTGACCTGAGTTACTTCAGGTGGATCTTGGCATCAAGGCTGTAGGAATTTACTGGTCTTTTGTATAGGTGTCAGGTATGCCTCGGTGATTTTTAACTGTCAGGGTCATATAAACTTCATACAGAGATATAAAGACTTCTGGGACCATAGGGAGATGAATTTTTCGAAGTGTGCTTGGGCCCCAGTGTCTGGGCCTGTTGGAAGTGTGCTTACGGTCAGGAAAACAGTCTCGTCCAGCTCCTCCGCTTCCCGCACGATGGTCTCCAGCGTGTCCTTGGCAGTGTCCATGCTCTGCAGAAAGCGGACCATCTGGTCGTGCAGGAACTCCATCTTCCTCTTCTTCACTTCCTCGAAGCTCTGGGCCTTCTCATCATACTGTGCTAAGACCCTCTTCATCATCTCCTCATTCTGTTCCTCCAGCCTTTTCTCTTTTTTGCTACAGTTTTCCTGCAAAACAGAACACTTCTGAATAAAGGAAACACATGTTTAGAAAGAAAAGAAAAAATAATACCTCAGCTTTTTAAAGACCTGACCAGAGCATCTCACTTCTCTAAGTAGCACTAAGTGCATGGTCTAAATTTCCAACACAACCAACTTCATTTTACCATAGCTAGCTTTGTTGTTGTTGTTTCTCTACTGTTCAGCAACAAAAGAGGCAAAACGAGTAGAGTAGTTACACAGTGAGAGTAGAGTTGGGTTTTCTAAATAGCTAGCCTTACAAAAAAATTAATTCACTATAGGAATATTGTCAAAGAAGAGGTAGTTACTGAACTATATTTTTAAATATAAAAAGTAAAAGAAGATATTTGTATGGAGGTCTTACTTGAAAAGAGCCCCATAGTGATGGGAAGCCATGACCTCCAGGCCTAGCATTGGCACAGCCACTCCACTAAAGTCATGGTGTGTGTGAAGGAGCAGCCAGCATATTGAACAGGGTTCTCCATTCACAGCTGCTCTGCCATGACACAGAGGCTTCATCACAGCAGGAGAAACTGGGTTGTTGTCTCTCTAAACACACACATACCTGGCTCCTCTCATTAGCAGGGCTGGTGATTAAGTGATCATATAGTTGACTGTTGAAAAGGATAGTTGGGAGAGTTTCCCAAAATACTTATCAGGTGTTAATTGGAAGCAGGAGTGACATCCACTTCCTAAACAACATGCCTTTGGAAACTCTACTTTGGAAACTTTGAAAAATGACGACAGTTTTAGGCTTCAGGTCTTTTGTTCATAGGGTCGCTACGAGTTGTGCTCAACTCGATGGCAATCAACAACAACAATTGATAAACAACAGGAGTAATGCAGACCTTGCACAAGCAAAACAGGATATGAAGTCACCCTCGTGCTAGAGTAACTGCCTTCTGGAGCAGCTTGATGAGGATGCCTCGGTCAGCTTTCTTGGGGATGGGACTGCTACCCTTCTCCTTACTATGGAGGGAGCAGAACACCAGGGAGGAAAGCATGAACTCAAAAGAGACAGTTGTAGCATAAGAGACACTTAGTTTTCCTGGGCATCAGACAATAGGCAGTAGGTTGAGCATTTCAGCAGAGCTAATGTGGTAGCAGGATCAGAGGAAGATGCATCAACAATCTTCATTTTGCAGATGACATAACCTTGCTTGCTCAAAATGAGAAGAACTTGAAATACATGTTGCAGAAGATCCAAAACTATATGTAGCTTTCAACATGGATTACATCTCAATATCAAGAAAATAAAAATCCTCACCACCAAGCCAAAAGGTACATCATGACAGATGGAGAAAAGAGAGAATTTGTAAATTATTTGTCAATTATTCAACCTTGCTTATGCTCTGAAGGGTGGGAAGACAGTGCAGGAGAGGGAGAAAAAGACCCCAGATGAGATGGGTTGATACAGTAACTAGGGCAATTGAGGTAGGTGTATCAGAGTCAGTGAGATTGGCTCAGGACAGGGCGGGCTTCAGAGCTGCTGTACATAGAGAATCTCTATGAGTCACAGGCAACTTGACAGTTCATAACAACAATAACATGTCCACAATTAACACCCTTGGCACCAGCAGTCAGGAAATCAAAAGACACATCGCACTGGGAAAGCCCTAAAGAGTAATGACGTCAATTTGAAGATCTTGGTGCGCCTGATGCAAACTGTAACCTTTGCAATTACTTGCTATGCAGTTAAACAATGAATAAGGATGGACAAGAAGAAAAAGTGATGTCTTTGAGTTGTGATATTGGAGAAGAGTGCTAAATACCATATGAACTGCCAAAAGAACAAAAAAAGTACATCTGGGTAAAGGTACCTCCAGGATGCTCTTTGGCGAAAAGGATAGTGAATTTTGTTTCACATACTCTGGGCCTGTTGTTAGGAGGAACCAGTCCTTTGAGAAGGGCATCATGCTTGGAAATGTGGAGGGTCAGTGAAGGAGGGAAAGATGTTCAAGAAGATGGGTTGACATGGTGATTGTAATGGTGGGTTCAAGTATGTCAGAGGTGGTCAGGATGGCACAGGATAAAGCAGAGAAAGATGCACTGTTAATAGGGTCACTACAAGTCGTCAACTCAATGGCACTTAACAACAACAATCCAGTGAGAGGCAGGAGAGTGGAGTAAGTAAGAATTTAAAGCTGGATTGAAACCCGAGGTCTTGACTTACAATCAATTTTCAGTCCTCATGGGCAATATATTTAATTCTAAGCCTCTATTTCTTATCTACACAATGAGAAAAATAACAGTAACACCTGGTTGGCAGTTACTGTGAAAATTAAACTGAGTTAAATATATAAAGCATTTGCACCTGCTTAATAAATAAGTATATGTGCTCATGTGTAAAAGATGAATCTTTAATCCTTAGACAAACAATAATGTCATTGATTACACTCAGGAGCAAGCTTTCATGGTTTGGTGTTTGTTTGTTTGTTTGTTTTTCATTATACTCAAAGTCTACATATTAAAAATTTGCCAACTGTACAATATTTGCATGTATAATTCAGTGACAGTGTTTATGTTCATCGTGTGCAATCATTACCACTATAGTTTTCAGTGGGAAGATTTAAAAACTCATATTTGTAATGGACTAAAATCAATAATGACAAGCATACACTTGAATGCATAAAACCCAGCTCAGATCCTGTTAAGTCAGAATCATTTACTTGTGATACGAGCAACAAACCAGGTTAAAGTAAGAGATATGACCACTTACCTCAATGGTATTAAAAAATGATTCTATCTCACTGACAAAAGCTTCAATCCTTAAGGATTTCTCTTGTAAATTTTCTAGGAACTCTGCTAATTGAACCTAGAGAAAAACAGAGTGAGACATCCTAAGTATACTACATTTAAGGAAAAAACTTCAAGCAGTGAAAACTCCAATGTCCTTATAAACTATTAAACTAAAATACTAATATTTTGGTGCAAGATTACCATATTTACTAAGCAATCAAGCTTTATAGTTTCTTTAAGGCTTCATGTAATCAGTTGTCAATCATTTTATTTTTTTAATAATTTTAATGAACATTTACAGA